CCGCCCTCCCGATTTCCTCCAGATTTAATTATTTGATAATTTTTTATTACTGATTGTATTTGAAACATCTGACTAGTATTTCAAGATGCACCTATGTACTTTTCTAGATGTAGTTCTGGCCCACATCTACACTCTTGAGTATAGCACTCTAGTATCCAAAGTAAGGCAACCCCAAATGTGTGCAGCTGTTGCCGCAAGTCCCTGGAACTAAAGTCACTCTGCAGGGAAGACTGAGAACCAGTGCTTTATCTCTCATAGATTCTGAATTCTTTTTCTTGGGTGTCAGGCTAAAGCCCTCAGCAACTCAATTATCACTGCTTGATTATTATTATGAACATGACTGACATCTTTCATCTGTGGAGGATGTTTTAATTGCCTGTTTGCACCCACATCCTCTGGAGATGAAGGCAAAGCAGCTTACTGTCCATAACAAGAGCTGTACCTTCCTGGGATGAGATTGCTTTGTCCTCTCCTCTACTGCACTTAGAATCCTGCAGCTGAGGCCACAGAGGTCTTGCTCATGTTAAGTCGGCCACTGCACAAATTAAATGTGGCTTCATCTTCTCAGAAGATGTAAAGAACACAGACATTTGCACCACCTAAGGAATCTACCCTCTCCTCCCATCTCCTAGCAGGGTCCACTTACCACACAGCTCATATGGAGCAGTACACACACATCACAACTGGCTCTGAACTAATTAATTATACCTTTGGTTCCTTAAAAGGGGTCTGAAAATTGCAGTCTGAAAATTTGGCTCGCCCTATAGTGTGGTGGCTGTACCAGGCCGCACCAAGTGAAAACACAAACCAAATGTCATTTTTTCTTTTTGAGAAAGACAAAATATGTTTCTCCCATCTTTTACCCCCTCCATAGACCTCTTACCTGCTTAAGGATTTCAGCAGCCGTTTCATGGGAACAATCAAATATCACATAAAACTCTTTGCCTTTCTTCATCTCCTTGAGCAGAGGTTTGGCATCTTTATTCCCAGAGGGCAGCTGGCGGATTTTGATTTTAATGTTGTATCTGGAAGGAGCTTTGATGAGCTCTTGCAGGCGAATTAGACCTGGAAAATGACATCCAATCATGCACCAGAGATGGATCTGTGTTGTTTATTGCCATTTACAGTCAAGGCAGAACATTCCCAAAATGTATCAAGCGGCCACCAACATAAAGGTTACACTATTGACTTCCTATTTATCACCCCCCTTATCTGGTAGATTGCTCTGATATTTTCCATTTGTGGGTCTGTGTGGCGGGGAAGCACAATTTCCCCAAGTGCATTTTGAATATATTGAGCATACACTTGTCCTTTCAACCTTTCAGCCAACACTACACGTCTTTAACATATCAAGTTTATGACTATGAAACTTCAACAAACAACAGCTTGCTTGAAGTTTCTAGAGGTACTCCACAAAATAGCGCCTGTTATTATTTTTAGAAACATATTTTCAAAAATTTATTCTTGTGAATATGTGTTTGAGTGTGCATTAATGTGCATGTATAAGTACCTCTGTTAGTAGAGGCCAGAAGAGGGCATCAGATCCCCTGGATCTGGAATCACTGGCAGTTGTGAGCTGACTGATGTGAATGCTGGGAAATGAACTCTGGTCCTCTGCAAGAGCAGGGAGCAGTCTTAAGCGCCAGCACTGAGCCCTCTTTCCAGTCCCTACATCTGTTATCTTTTAAAAGCTCAAGGAATACAAGGATTTCTTGGGGTTGCTAACTTACGTAAACTTATCATCAAATATTCATTTGTAGTATGTCGTTTACCAGCTAATTAGTCAGCTTGCTTTGTATAATCTTTTGGTGCTTGCTCAATAAACTATTTACAAATGGCTCATTATCTCTCTTGCTAATATGTTAGAGAGTTGTGTTGGTTAAGTCCTTATTTGATTAAAATGTACTATAGGATTTGGGGTGAGTATGATAGTGGAAGCAGAAATGTCATTTAAAATATAACTGCTGGCAGTTGTAGCAAAGTGTACACAGCAGCCTAAATTTATGGAATATTTGCTTTACCACAGGTCTGGATTCACCCGAGTTGCACTTTTCCCTAGTAGAAGTTCATTACTAGGCAAGGTGTGTACAGCCATAGAAAAGCTCCATCTCATGACCCTGATGTTAACTGGTATTTGCTAGACTGCACGATGTTGCATCTCTCTCTCTCTCTCTCTCTCTCTCTCTCTCAAGGACTCCTATCACATTGGAAAATTGACTTTTAAAAAAAAGTCTGCAGTTCAGTGCCTTCAGGATTTGTTAGCCAGAAGTAATCAACAGAGAATATTAAACTTTATGAGTGTTCAGATGGAAATTGTGCCATGAATGGTACAGGATGGCACATGGATTTCAGCCCATTCCAGAATTGAGACATTTGCTTCTTTCTCTGTCATTTTTTTATTGCCCTCCCCTCAATAGTCCCATTTATTTCAGCTGACATTGGAAAAGCTTCTCCAACACAGGAGATAGGTTTGATTCTGAAGTGTGGCCAGTTTTTCATGACACTATTTTCAGAATTACATTGAGTGGACATGAGAGGGACTGTTGCAGAACCATGTTAGGAGTTAGTACATTTTCCACCCACCCCTTTTCCTCTTTTCATAAAAATCAAAATTAGAACAACATCCTTCCTGGGCTCTCACTCCTTTTCAAATCAGTGAAGAACCAAAAATTGAAACATTCTTTTTTTTTTCTTAACAAGTTTCTTTTTCTGAATCACCACCAAATACTAAGAATGAGGTTGGGATGGATCCCGATCCACCTGTCTGCTCCCCCCCCAAAAAAACAATTCAAGCTAAACAACTGTCTCCCATATCCAGAGGGCCTAGACTAGTCCTGTGGGGACTCCACAGCTATTACATGGGTGGGATTTTTGGAGCCCAGTGCCTAGGGTGTGACACCTTGCACAGCCTTGGTGCAGGGGGAGGGTCTTGGACCTGCCTCAGCTGAGTGTGCCAGGTTCTGCTGACTTCCCATGGGAGACCTTGACCTGGGAAATGTGAAGATGGGAAATGGGTTGGGGGAAGTCTTGGGGGTGGGAAGAGGCAGGGATTTGTGGTTGGTATGTAAAGTGAATTGAAAATTTCTTAATAATAAAAAATATATTAAAAAAAGAATGAGGTTGGGGGTGGAACAGGCACTTATATATTTGTTATTCCTTTTATTAGTTAAACCTCATCATGGCACTATGAAGCAAGTTACCACGTTTATTATCTCAGATACAGAAACCAAGGCCCAGAGCATTAAATAACTTACTCAGGGCTATAGGGATAGCTAGCAGGAACCATAGATTAAGACAATTTGTGAATCTAATGCTCCATCTTTCCATGTCCCCGCCCTGCCTTACAAATACAGGCTATTGCTGCTCAGGGCACACTGAAGCTTAAAATGGTTTGATGATAAGGAAAAACAGAACCAGAAACTGATTTTCCTCTCTTTCTTTCTTCGGGCTTCATGCTCTGCTATCAGTTTTTTTCTTCTGTTTTAGCATGAGCATGACCACCTCGGAGAGCTCAATATGGCCTTTAAATGAAATGGGGAAAACATTTTGAATGTACGTTTTATATGCTGCAAAGAGCTGCTCCTTTGTTCTTTGCTGAATGGAATGTCAGCCTTGAAGTGCATCTTCCTAGCCAGGACCCTGCTGGCATTTAAAGTCGACAGTTCCCCCTTCATTCCTTCACATTCACGTTCAAGAGGATGTGTTTCCTGGATGCTCATTAGATCCTACGCCTGTGCTGAACTCTGCAAGGCTTTTAAAGCTCGGAGGAGATTTTCGTACTAGAAAGTATCCTTAGGTGGATGGAGTACCAATTGCCACTTGATTTCATGCATAGAAAGCTGGCTGGACTTACTGCAGGCTGGAGTAGCCTGCTGGAGGTGACAGTCACGTAGCAGGTTCAGGGCTGAAAGCCAAGCCTGCCTTCTGACTCCCCAGTAGGGTCCTTTCTCTTGGATCAGGGACCCTTTCTGACTTTTGTATTTGGGACAATTGATTGAACAAATGGCTCCACTGACTTACTCAGTCAGCAAACAGAGGAAGCAAATTCTAGACCAGCATCAGACCTTGGCTTGGCTTGCAGTGACCACCCACTTTCACAATAGTTTCAGAAAAGAAAGATCTTCAGACTGAAAGATTACAGCCCCAAGGTGTGAGAAGGATAGAGACTTTGCATCTGTCTTCGTGAAGTCACCTCAAGCCAAGTCTTTCTGCCCTCATGAGCAAATTTATAATTTAAAAAGCTTTCTCCCTTCACAGGAGAGAAAATTTACTGAACTCTTTCCTTAATATTTGCATTTTGCAGCAATCCATCAATCATTTCATGTTTCATTGTAATGACTAGTTAAAAAATTATTTGTTAAACAAATAATGACTTTAGGGAAAGGAAACAGATTTAAGAGCAGCCCCCAGCTTTGTGACATCCTCATTTGGATGCCTGCCTTGATCAGGTGATGAAGCCCTGCCAAGATTTCTGTAACAGGCAATGCCAATGGTGCATGTAAAACTAGGAATTTGGTGAGGTTTTCTAGCCCATCAAGGTAGAGGCATTTTAGATTGAAATGTAGATCAGGAACGAACTAGACAGATCCAAGTGAGTGACATTATATAAAACTCTGATCTCATCTTGACTCTCTGTAAATATAATGACATGAATGACAAAGAAGATCTGGACCAATGGAGACCAAAGATATGTCACAATGAAATACATTGAATGCTGCTGGGGCAATCAGGGAAAAGAGAATTATCCATGAATTTGTTTGCTTGACAGTATTGTATCATTGCTAAGCTTCCTGCATTGGATGGATTGTAGTGTGGCTGCAGTTAAGAAAGTTAGTTTCTAAAGTAGGCACAACAATCTATTAGTGCGCAAAAATGTCAGAATATCTACAATTTACTTTTCAGTGGTTCTATAGAGCTTGTAGTTATTATTACTCATACTTTTTTTCATGGTGCTTGAAATTGAACCCAGAGCTTTGATCTCTACACATTGAAACTTTGAGACAAAGTGTAGTATACCATATAGCCCAGGATGACTTGGGGCTTCTGATCTTCCTGCCCCAGCCTGCCACGCAAGGTTTACGGGCCTGCACCACCATGCCCTATTTGTAGTTATTTATATGTTGAAAGAACTGGGGAAGATTAAAATGAATTTGGTTAGTTAAAAATGGCTGCTGTATCTGGATGAAGGCATGGGTGTACAAGTTTATTGCACACCTCTTGAAACTTTTCTCTAAGTTCAAAGACAAAACTCATGGCTATGAAGCAATATCATGAGTGTCTCTTCTTATCCACACCCCTAGCCATGCAATTAGAAACCTAAAATTATGAAAGTGCTTTAGAGTAAAGCCAGTTTGTTTCATGTGAATGTGAGCTAGGCTGCATATAGAGATAACATTTAAAAAGTCAACATGGCCGATTCTAAACACTTTGGCTGTCTGCCCTGTGTATTCAAATATGACACAGAAAAATGCTGATCTGCATGTGTACTGAGGAGCTGTGGCATGAGGCAGAGCATATGGGAGAGGAGCAAAACTTCCTTCTATTTCCAGTGCATGTGTAAAAATGCTCTGTGTCTTCTTTAATAATAACAAACCTTGCTATTTACACTGCCCCTCTTTCACAGTGCGCTGCTTGTCCTATAAATAGCTCGCTAAAGCTAGAATATTTTTGGGAAGTGTACAGGTGCTAGAGCTATTTCATGGAGAGGAAAGTGAGGCACAGTGAGGTTAATTGTCTAGACCAGCCCTGAGAATAAGTCACAGACACCAGGAATTGGAAGGGACTTTAAAGGTCAAAGCCTGACTTGATGCAGGAATCCCCTCACATTGCCGCTGAACGCCTCTCGGTGTAGGAGATTCTCTCCTATACACTGCAGTCCAATCTACTCCTGGGCAGCCTTCATTCTATTTAATGAGTCTCAGTTCAAAAGGAAAGTGCCTCCGTTTTCTTGAGTCTTAATCCAATTCCCTGTTCATTAAACCATACGAGTCGGTTTGATGCTGTAAAAGTGAGTGTAATAAACCATTGGGACCCGAAGATCAGATCACACATTTTAAATGTTAATT